GGAAGGAAGGAAGGAAGGAAGGAAGGAAGGAAGGAAGGAAGGAAGGAGGGAAGGAAGGAAGGAAGGAGGGAAGGAAGGAGGGAAGGAGGGAAGGAAGGAAGGAAGGAAGGAAGGAGGGAAGGAAGGAAGGAAGGAGGGAAGGAAGGAAGGAAGGAAGGAAGGAAGGAAGGAAGGAAGGAAGGAAGGAGGGAAGGAAGGAAGGAAGGAAGGAAGGAAGGAAGGAAGGAAGGAAGGATGAGGGGTGTAGTTTCAGAAAAACATGGCAAGAACTATATAAACTGATGCAAAGTGAAGTGAAAAGAACAAGCAGATCATTGTGTATAGTAACAGCAATGTTGTAATGATGATCAGCTGTGAAATACTTGGCTACTCTGATCAATACAAGGATCCAAGACAGTTTCAAGGTATTATGATGCAAAAATGTAATCCACCTCCAGAGGGAGAACTAATGAACTCTGAGTGAAAATTGAGCCACAATTTTCTCACTTTATTTCTTTTGCTTCCTTTGTAATGTGGCTAATATGGAAATATGTTTTCTATGATTTCACATGTATAATTGATATCATATTGCTTGCCTTCTCAGTGGGGGAGGAAGTAGGAGGGAGAAAGAGAATTTGGAACTCAAAATTCAAAGAGAAAAGACTATTTAAAATAAATAATAAATTTGAAAAAATCAAAAAGAATACAACACCAGGGGAAGTACAGTATAGCCACCAAGCCTACTGAAGAGAAACCTAGGAATTAACAGTACTCACTGATATGACACATAAATTAGATACCATGCAAAGTAACACACTCCTAGGAAACTGGGGGAATAACCTACATGTAATATTTTTCCACTGTATTTTCCTATCAGGAACAATGAAAGGGGAGAATCTTGTGGCTGACATTTGCTACCTAACCTTGTCTCCAGGCTCAGTCAAGCAACCAGTATAATTACTGCTTCTGTGGACCTGCTGTTAGTCAGTATTTCAAAGGGGCCTCTTCTTCTATAAAGCTATTTATTCTTTGCTCCTTTAGAGAGAACCAAAGCACTGTTGGGGTTCTTGTCTATTGAGGAACTGAGACATTCTCTGTGAGGGCTCAAGACTATGTATTAACTCTCTGAGCATATTCAGATACCATTCAGCATACCAGTGCAGATTCAGCACCTGCTAAATAATGAACGAGAGGTGCCAGGGAGGTGCCAAGGTTTGCTACAGAATGTTGTGAGGCATGCTCTTCATCCTTCAAAATTGATATCTAGCAGGTAGATTTCCGAGGGTCAGCACTCTTCCACGCTCCAACCACCTACCCTATAACCAATCCAATACTCAGTTGTACATTCACAGCAATAGCTTACATTTAAATAGCTTTTTAAGGTTTATAAACAGAAATGACAAGGGATTTCATTTTATCCTTTGCTCTTCCCCAAAGGATAATTATTTCTTAAAATTGTCAATCTTATCAACTAGATGTGATACATTATCAAGGAGAGGGAGAGAGAGAGATGCTGCCAAGCTTTTGGATTCTGATTCCCAGTCAGGGTCTGTGAATCTGGGCTTCGGGTTTCTATTTCTGACTTCATAATTGGCAGCCCTAAGATTGAGCTAGGTCTCCCTGACTCTTTTTCAGTTTGCAAAGAACAAACTAGAACTCTTACTTGGAAAGGTGAACAATAGCATTTAAGTCTGAGATGCTTAGAAACTACTTTCTTTTTCATGATTCTTAATTGCACTGACAGTGGGTTAGTAGTGACAAAGAGCCTAGATTTTCATTTCTTGGGTCCATACTAGTTCACATATTCTTCCTTGTTTGCTTACTTTTTCTTTCTTCCTTTTGTTCTTCCTTTCTTTCATTCAACAGGGGCAGCTAGATGGCACAGAGGATAGAATGTTGGAACTAGAGTCAGGAAGACCTGAATTCAAATCCAGCATTTGACATTTAACTAACTGTGTGACCCTAGGCAAGTTGCTTAACCTCTGCCTGCCTGGATACCCTCAATATAAAATGGAGATGATAGTAGCACCAGGAGACAACTAGGTAGTTTAGTGGATAGGTAATGAAAAGTTGGACATGACTGAACAACTGAACAACAACAATAACAATAGCATCTACCCATAGGTTTATCAAAATCAAATGAGATAATATTCATAAAATGCTTAGCATAGCACCTGGCACATAGTAGGTGATTAATACATGCTCATTCTCTTCCCCCATTCTACTCTCACCCCCATTTACTAAGCATTTGCTTCTGTGCAGAGGCAATGTGACATAGTGGACAGAAAGCCAACTTTGAAGCCAGCAAGAGCTGGGTTCACATCCTGCCTCTGACATATCCTGGCCATGTGACACTGGGCAAAGGAATTAATATTTCAGGGCTCTAGGCAACTCACTTAGAGTGTGGAAATCTCTTCTATGGAATCTGCATTAGTTAAAGGAGGTTTCCTTACCCTGGAGTTCCCTAAGCCAATGAAATCACTGATCCAATAACTATCCCCCTACTTGGACACAGAGTACTGTGCTAGGCACTGGAGGGGATACAAAATTTAGATAAGGCATGGTTCTTGCTCATGAAGAGTTTATAGTCTAGTTGGGAGATACGTAAAATAATCCTTCCAGTTTCTTCTTTGCCTTACCCAAAAAAAGTCCTCAGCATATTTGTTTCTTGGAAATACCCAGCTCAACAACTATAGTCTCTTTCTGCCTTGATGGACAGATTTTTGATCATCCTACTGTGAATTTTTTTATTTATTTTATTTTGTTTATTTATGATTGCTGCATCTATCTATATATATACATATATATTGTTTTTCCCCAATTACATGTTAAACTTTTTTAGCATTTGTGTGTGGGTTTTTTTTAGGTTTTTAGGTCTAAATTCTATTCTTTGCTCCCTAACTCCCCTCCTCCCTGAGATGGTAAGCAATCACATATAGTTTATACATGTGCAGTTGTGTAAAACATTTCCATATTAGTCACTTTGTATGAGAAGACTTGAGTTAAAAAAAGGAAAGAGAGTGAAAGAGAGAGAAGGAAGGAAGGAAGGAAGGAAAGAAGGAAGGAAGGAAGGAAGGAAGGAAGGAAGGAAGGAAGGAAGGAAGGAAAAAAGAAAAAAATAGCATACTTCAGTCTGTATTCAGACAATATCACTTCTTTCTCTGGAGGCTGTTAGTATGCTGCATCATTAGATCTTTGGGATAGTCTTAGATAACTGTGTTGCTGAGAATAATTAAGTTGTTCACAGTTCTTCATGTTACACTATTATTGTTACTGTGTACAATGTTCTCATAGTTCCTCTCATTTCACTTTGCATGATGTTCATCATTCCAGGTTTTTCTGAAATCATCCTGCTTCTCATTTCTTAAAGCACAATAATATTTTATCACAGTTATATAGCACTCTTTAGCCATTTCTCAATTGATGGACAGCCCTTCAATTTCCAATTTTTAGTTATCACAAAAAGAGCTGCTATAAATATTTTTCTGTGAATAGATTCTTTTCCCTTTTTTATGTTTTTGGGAAATAGACCTAGCAGTGGTATCGCTACATCTTTTTAAATGACTTGTGTGATTTAGTTCTAAATAATTATGTTTTTTTTATTTGGATGTGCTATTTATTCTCTGTATTTTAGGGAATTTAATTAAATCTATTTGAAAAACTTCACTGATAATCTACTTCCTTTAGGATAACTTTCCTTCCATGATTCAAAAAATCCATATCATATTAAAATCATTGAAGCTTCCTAAATTTGGAAATTCCCATTGTATTGAGTGTCTTGTGGATAGTCTATGATTCCTTATAATAGGACACTTCTTTTACACCGAATTTGTAAATAGAATAACTAAATAACATTATATGAAATTAAATTCAAATATTTATCATGGAAAAATATGTTTACTTTTTCCTAGATTTAATGTTATATTGGTTATCAATTACAATGGAAATTAGTTTGTGCACTTGACTCTCTGTCCCTAATGCAATCAGTTTAGGCATATGTGCTTTCCTCCACCCCTTTCACCTCTAATTCTGCAAACACTAATCAAATCAACACTGCCATTCCTGAAAAGGATGTGCCAACCAATTTTCC